CCCGCCCCCTGAGGAGGACGGAAAAAGCGAAGCCACTCGATCATTGAAATCGGAAGGCGCCTAAAGCAGACTGGAATCGGGGAATCCAGAACTATCTACTTTCAACGACCGATGGGTGCTGGGGGTGACGAAAAAGCACTAAAGTGGCCCTCTAGGTCCCATGTTTGACCCTGTTGGCTCGAAAAACGACACTATAAAGGACCCCTTTTAGGGCCTTTCTCTTCAACCCCACCCATTTGGGTCACCCCTCATTGCCACCCGCCTGGGCATTCCAGCAGCCCCTCTAGGGACCTCCACGACGCGGTCCCCACGACGCGGTCGGAGCAGGTGGGGTCCGAACATCGCCGATGCACTGGCGACTTCGGCGATGCACTGGCGACGTCGGCGTGGAGAAGATCAGGCTCCCTAGCGAGTCCCATCGGGGATTTGAGCAGGGACCAACCGTCCCGGCATTCCTACAGGCCTAACTCGAAATCTGCCGAGAACCCAGAAATCTTCCAAAAACGAAAAACCATGTTCTCAGAACAGAAAGCCGATGTGTTAAAACAAGACAGCCCCAGCTGGGCGAGCAACGACATATGTACATGTACGCCTTCCGCGGTCTTGCCTGCACGAACGTCCGCGTTGACACGCACTCCAGGGGAAACGAATCGCGTACGTGTACATATGTTGCTGGCCTCTGACCAGCCAGAAATGTTCTAAGAACATGTTGCGGAAACCACAGAAAAAGGTTCTTAGGACATTGTTCGGTAGGCCTATAGGCACGCCAAGACGCTTCGCCGCTGCCTGCGGGAGGCATCCGCGATGCGGCGCGACCCTCCGCCCCCGGCTGCTCGGGCCCAAGCTGGGAGGCCCAGAGCTCCCCCCGCCCGCCCCGCGTGCAGGAGGACACCTCGCCAGCGAGCTGCAGGAGTCGAGGCTAAAACAGGGCTAGGATCGGGATAAATCGTTCCAGAGCGTTCCGGAGCGCTCTCAGAGCGTTCCGGAACGCTCTGGAGCGGCCGCGGCGCCCAATACATCCTCCAACCCCGCCGATTCTCAGAGATTTCGAGTTATCCCGATCCGATTTTGTCCCGATCTTCGTCGCTTTAGAGGCGTCACCGCCTCCAATCGGCGGTGGACAAACCTCCCTTTAGTAAACCTCCCCTTAGTGAAAACGGCCGAGGACCGAAACCGCCGGACCTGGACCCGCAAAAATGACGGCCGTGACGCCCTCTCGCGAACCGAAAACGGCCAATTCCTGAATCGACGTGTCAGGGTAGGAGGTCTATCCACCTCCGATCCAAAAAGAGATCCGTACCCTGAACGTTTCAGTCCGTGCTTTTGGGGGGCTCATGGGCACACAAATGACGTTAGGCACCACAACTCTGGAGATCCCCTACTTCTAGAAATTATGTCTGGACTTTCGTCTTCCCCCCGATTTCTCGTACTTCAACATTTTTAAAGAAATCTGCAATCATTGTGCTTCTTTCCCTCCTGACGCGTCCTGGACCAGGACCGCTTGTTCATCCCGATCGTTTTTTGACTGTCCAAGGCCCCGCGAGGGCCCCTAACAACAGGCCGACAGCGAGGAAAGACCTCCGCATTAATCTTCCCCTGAAAAGTCGGCGCGCTCCCGAGAAGGCTGTAGTCGTGGATCAAGACATACTCCAATCCCGGGAGCCGGCCCTGGGTGCGGCCACTCCGGGCCTCGTGGACAGGGTCGGAGCAGATGGGGTCGGAGGATCGCGCCGCATCGCCGATGCGGCTCGATGTGAAGCTCGATTTGCTTCACGTCGACGTCGCCGATGCATCGCCGACGTCGACGATGCGTCGCCGTTGCATCCACGATGAATCGCCGATGCATCGGGCATGCGGCGCGATCCTCCGACCCCACCTGCTCCGACTCCGTCATCTGGGAAGCCTCTAGTCACGTCACGCGGGAGTCCCACGCAGGGCCCGGACAGGCTGTGCTGTCGGCGAAGGGGGGAGAGGCAGGGAAACGAACCCTCCCGAAACCCTGGCGTCCAATTTTTTTTTGTTCGAGCCGGGCGTTTTCGCCTCTTCGGGCCCTGGGACCCTCGCAGATCGATGCGGCTAGAAAAATGATGCAGAAAGGTGGTGTCTTGGGCTCTGGGCGTGGTTTGTGACGATGCTGCCTTTTCATTGGCTACATCAAATCTCAGGGCCAGACATGCGACGTCCTGAGCTTTTCTTGGCGGTGCGCACAAGGGGGCGGAGGGAAGGGGAAGGGCTTCTTAGAAAGAGGCTGCTTCTAAGAAGCCCTCCCCCCTCCCCCACCCCCCTCTGCGCGTGGCTGATTTTCAATACGCGGTCCCTGGGAATCCCGGCCCATTCCTTGGGGCCAATCTTTCATCCAGAGTAGTTTTTGACTCTCCCGGGATCCGGCCAGGGCCCCCCGAGGCCGAAAGTAGCAACAAACAAATCCCGCCGGGATCTTTTCACGACGCGATCACGCCTGGAGAGACAGGGCACACGCAAGAGAGGCCCTATAGGCCAGCTTGACCTCTGGTGCGCGGATTCAGGGGGCGCAGGTGGCCAAATCCAAGCAGGCCGGGACGAGCTTGGGGGGGCGGCCTTGGGGGGGGGGATGCGTGTGAATCGACCTGTGGTTGCCTTCTGGGAGGCCCGTGGGCCACAGAGCGCGATTGGGAGGCCTCGGGCGAAAGATGCCTGCCCCTGGCCGTGCAGCCTTGGCACTCCGGGAGGCGTGTGGTATGCTTCCGGCGCGGAGGGGGGCCCCCCTATAAGGATGTTGTTGTTGCTGTGTTGTTTCGCTTTCCGCCCCGCTCCCTCTGCCCGTGCTCTCGTCAACTTGCCCGTTTCATTATGGCCTTGGGCCTGTCCGAGCATAGCTCCCGCACCCTGCGCTGTGAGTGAGTGGATGCCACTGGCACGCTGCCCCGATGGCCCCCTTCTTCCAAGCCCCGCGCTCGGATCTCTAAAAGGCTGACCTTTTGGGGAAAGGTTTAAAAAAGCATCGGAGTACGCAAAGAAACAGCAACACTCTACGTTCTTCAGATCCCTGCTCAACATGTTCGCATGAATCTCGAGCAACACGTGTGTGTGTGTGTGTGCGAACGTAATGTGACTGCCCGTCACAATGCGATTGAAATCTCCCCCCGTCGATCTCGCGAGGACAAAATGCTGTCAGGCCTTCTGATCGAAATCCTGGGAAGCGGGCGAGGACGACTTGCAATGATGCTGGCACGCTGCGGGACAAATCACGTCCCTTGCTTGAGGCTCGCTGGAACGGACAAGGCGACTGCTGGCCTCGCCAATCTCTACCCAGGCTTTGGCCCGTGATACCTGGGGGGGGCGATAAATAGGGGGCTGCCGAAAAGGGGCCATTGAGGGCCCTCTGGGGGCCCCGCATCCCCCGCCCCCCTTCAATTCGCGCCCGAACGCTGCCCCTGGAGGCCAACCTGGGTCCGCATTGCCCAGAACGCCCTGGTCGCCTCACCTCGCGCACCGCGCCCCGCGAATCGCGCGACTGGCTCCGCGCCCCCGCGCTCCAGCCTCAGCCCCCCCCCGTGGAGGGGCAGCCGCTCGGGCTCAGAACGCGGCCCGCGAAGCGCGCCCGCGAACGACTCGGCAGCGCTCCCGAACTGCACGATGGCTCTGCGATCGAGGGGCACGGCAGCACTCGGCTCCCATGACTACCCCGAGTACCACAGTTCGCGCAACCCAGGCTCGACCCCGACTCCTCGTCACCGTCATCGTCACAGCCAACGTCGTCGACATTCGCATCACCGTACTCGTCATCATCATCATCATCATCATCATCATCATCATCATCATCATCATCATCATCATCATCACCATCATCATAATCATCATCATCATCATCAGCATCATCATCATCAGCATCAGCATCAGCATCAGCATCATCATCATCATCATTACCAGCATCATCAGCATCCTCATCGTCACCATCATCATATCAGCATCATGATCCTCCTCATCATCATCATCAACATCATCATCACCATCATCACAATCATCAGTATCATCATCATCATCATCACCATCATCAGTAGCAGCAGCAGCAGCACCACCACCATCATCATCATCATCATCATCGTCGGCGTCGCCATCGTAAACGTCGCCATCATAAGCAGCATCATCATCATCGTCATCATCAGCATCATCATAATCCGTAGCAGCATCACCATCAGCATCAGCATCAGCAAACTCATCAGCATCATCAACAAAAATTCCATCATGAACATCATCATAAACATCATCGTCATCGTCATCGTCATCCTCATCATCATCAGCATCATCATCATCAACATCATCATCATCATCGTCGAGGTGATCCTCCTCATCCGCGTCGACGTCATCGTCGTCATCATCAGCATTATCATCATCTTCATTATCATCCTCATCGTCATCGCCAGCATCATCAGCACCATCATCCTCAGCATGAACCATCATCGTTATCACATCGCCATCATCATCACCATCTCAATCATATTGATCATCATTATCATCATTATAATCACCATCGTCGCCGTCGCCACCGACAGGAAGACCCCGTCACGTAGAGGCCCGAGCCTCCGCCGACAGCCCCAACACGGCTAGACGAATCATCCATCAGAAGGCTGGCCCGACGGGAGCTGGCTCCAAGCGTCAATCTTCTGAAGGGCGTCGGGGGGCAAACGGAAGTCTCTGGGATAATCTTCAGATCCAGCTCGTTGCCGAAGCGCGTCCAATGCGTGCTGTTGCTCCTGTGAGCTGCGTCCGCGAAGAAGTTGAAGCCAGCGCTGCGACTGATGCGAGGTCCAAAAGATAAGCTCTTCCCTGTTTGCTGCCCCCCCTCAGCCTCTCTGGGAGGACTTGCGAAGATTGGGCCTGAATGAGAAGGAAAGAGAGGTCGAGGAGAAGAACATGGGCATAGGAAGTAAGGGTGTTTTCGTCAAGGACCTCTGCCCTTTGCTCAGCGTGTACGCCAAGTCTTCTGCCCACTTGCCCTTTACGGAGATGGAATGGAAGTACATGTCCGCGCAAGCGCCGCCCATGTGCAAAGCCTCGCCGTTTACCTTCAGCAAGGTGGCTCTGGGTTCCGCATGCCTGAGGTCGGATGCACGAAATGCACCAGGTGAACGCCTATCCCATTCCAATCCTTTCCGTCCACGCTCAAAGCCTCACATAAAAGAAGACAGCATCCCCCTTTCTCTATGCTGATGCTCACTGTCGTATCGAAAGAACTACCGATCGCATAATTCAACTCACCAGCCCTGGTCAACCTCCCGGCCAACCCTTTCGGGCAAGGCAATGCGCGGCAGGAGCGAGCCGGCGAGCAAGGACTGAACGTCCTAGCAGCAGCGCTAGCAGCGGAATGACCGCCGAACGCGAGACGCAACGCTTGGAATGAGCTTCCTGGCAAGATCCTCGGCAATGCGAATTGCTTGGGACAGAGATTCGGCACAATCGCTTCCAGTGGCAAAGCTTCGCCTAAAAATCGTCATGGGGCAAACTTCTCCTGTACAGTGGCGGTTAACCTGGCCATCCCCTCGACCAACCCCCAAATAACCCAGCCAACCTCCTACGGCGAATCCTGGTCAGAAAAGTTCTTTCCACTAGGTATCGTACGTTCGACAGGTCGCGCAGCACAGAGCGTCTCTCGCTGCGCGTCACGCATTTTGAAAAGCATTCTTCCCAGAGAGGCTCGAGCGTCGCCTCTGCCCTGGCTCGAAAACGCTGAGCTTCAAATTCGCCAGCCCAAAAAGCCAGAGGCGTGCTAAGATCTCCGGCAACTGCATTACAGTATTTCGACTTCGCGCGCGCGGGGCGGCCCCTGCGGGTCAAGGGACGAACAATACCCTGGCCAGGTCCCCGGCCAGGTCCCGGCCGCTTCGGATCAGAGATGGTGTTCCTCCTTTCAGGCTTTCCAGGCCGCTCCTAGAGGGCCCCAACAAGCCCTCAAGACGGTCCAAGAGGACTCCGAAACCTCGAACGTTCGGTCCAAGACGCGTACGATGGCCTCCAGATAGCCCCAGACGTCTTGAAGCCGCCCCAAGAGGCCACCAAGACACCTCCCTCCCAAGAGAGCCCCCAGAGGCAAAAAGTAATGGACTTCCCGTGGTCTGAGGATTTTGGCGTTTTCGCCTTTTCAACTTACCCGCCCCAACACGGCCCAAGAGGCCCCCAAGATCGCCCCAACACGGCCCAAGAGGCCTCCAAGTGGGCCCCCCCACACCCAAGAGGGCCCCAAGACAGCCCAAGAGGCCCCCAAGACATACCAAAGGCCTCCAAGGCGGGCCAAGAGCTTCCCAAGACAGCTCCAAGAGCGGGCCCTGACATGGACCCGAACAGGCATCTCGAACCCTCGACCCCGAGAGGCCCCACGGAGGCCCCAAGAGGCCTCCAAGAGGCCCGCAAGAGGCCCCCACCAGGCACCCAAAAGGTCCAAGGAGGTCCCAAGAATAGCGCACAGACGCCTCCGAGAGACCTCCCAAGAGACCCCAAGCAACCTCCCAAAGAGGTGTCTTGTCAACGACCAAGTTTGGCCCCAACGTGTCCCAAGAAGTCACGGAGAGGCCTCCTCCACCTTGGGCTGGCGGAGTGAGCGAAGCGATTCAATATTAGCCCCTGAGTGGCCTCCCGAGAGCCGCCAGGCTGACCCTGGAGAGCGCACCATGGCGCACCAAAACCCCTCCCTCGACGAGCGTGCAGGGCGCCGTCATACACCGTTGCAGAACAACCAAGTGCACGCCACAAGAGCTCCAGCTTGCTGGAAATCATTGGGGGCCAGGTGCGCCGACCTCGCATCTGTCCCCACTCGCTTCCCTTCCAGCTGTAGTAGATTTACCTACCTGTAGGCTGCAGCGCTCAGGGGCGCGATGGCGAAGACAGGTCGAAGGGCAACGAGGAGCAGCCGCAGGAGCTGAAGACAGACGCCTGAGGGTAAGGGGGCCTGGATAGGAGAGAACGCAGGGCTCCCAAAGGAGCCACTCTTGAGACCCTGGGCCTGGGAATCTGGATCAGCGTGTGATTGCCCTCCCTCAAGATGTCGAAGCGCTGTCCGTACATGTTCACCAAGTGGGGGTCGCCGACGGCTTTTGCGGCAGTTTCCTTCCGAGCAGGCTTCGGCATTGCAACCTGGAAGGAGCTATCACACGATATACAGAGAGATAGAGAAAGAAAGAGAGAGAGAGAGTAACAAAAAAGATAATGAGAAGAGACATGGAGAAAGGAAGACCGAGAGAGAGAGAGAGAGACACAACAAACAAAAGCGAGAGATGGACACTAACACCAACAAAACATCTCTTTGGGCACAAGTCTGTGTCATGCATCGGTGGTGTAGGTATAACTGGGGAACAAGGGACCATATTAAACGACCACAATGAAGGCTGACTCCGGTACAATGCGCTGCGCCCCACTTGGGCGACACCATGCCTAGATATACAATGTATCGCGCACGTTGATAAGAGTCCAAGGCGGGTAAGACGGCCCCAAGATGCATCCAAGACGGCCCAAGATGGCCCCAATATGGTCTAAGACGGCCCCAAAGGCCCGCAAGAGGCCTCCAAGACGGCCCAAGGGCCTCCAAGAGGTCCTCCAGGAAGGCCCGACGAGGCCAAAATCATTGCTTTTCCTGAGGTTTTGAAGGATTTTAGCATTTGCGCCTTTTCGACTTTCCGACGGCCCAAGACAGCCCAAGAGGCTCCCAAGATCGCCCGAAGATCGCCCAAGAGGCCTCCAAGAGGCCCTCATGACGGCCCCAGACGCCCCCAAGACCGCCCCAAGAGGGCCCGAAGACGGCCCAAGAGGCCTCCAAGACGCCCAAGATGGCTTCCAAAACGCCCAAGATGGCCTCCAAGACGGCCCTGGAGCATTCCAAGAGGGCCCCAAGTCGGCCCAGAAAGGCCCCAGAGACGACTCAGACGGCGTCAGACGGACCAGGAGCCCACCAAAACGGCCGAGCATGGCCCTAAGATGGACCAAGACGGCCCAAGAGGCCCCCAAGAAAGCCTCCAGGAAGGCCAAACGAGGCAACAACCATTGATATGCCCTAGGTGTGTGCGTGTGTGTGTGTGAGGGAGAGAGAGAGAGAGAGAGAGAGAGAGAGAGAGAGAGGCGGATTGTGACATTTGCTTATTGTCGGCCTTCCGACGGCCCGAGACGGCCCAAGAGCCCCCAACGATCGCCGAAAGATCGCCGAAAGATCGCCCCAGAACGGCCCAAGAGGGCCCCAAGAAGCCCCCAAGACGGCACAGGAGGCCTTTAAGACGCCCAAGATGGCCTCCAAGACGGCCCTGGAGCATTCCAAGACGACCCCAAGTCGGCCCATAGAGGCCCCCCAAACGGCTCCCGACTGCGTCAGACGGACCAGGAGCCCACCAAGACAGCCGAACATGGCCCTAAGATGGACCAAGACGGCACGAGAGGCCTCCAAGAGGGCCTCCAGGAAGGCCCGAAAAGGCCAACATCATTGATTTCCAGGATTATGGCATTTGTTTTTTTTCTGCCTTCCGACGGCCCGAGACGGCCCAAGCGCCCCCAAAGATCGCCCAAGAGGCCCACGACACGGCCCCATGAGGCCCCCAAGACGGTCCAAGAGATCTCGAAGACGCTCAAGATAGCCTCCAAGACGGCCCAAGAGCCCTCCAAGACGTCCTGCAAGAAGGCCCGAAAGGGTCAAAATGGCATCCAGACAGCCAAGATGAACTCCAAAGATGCCCACGTGTTCGCCGAAGGCTTTCCAAACCGATGCGGGGAACACATGGTCTGATTGCTTGGCAAGTTTGGCCTCAACGTTCGGCCACATAGGCGCTTCCAAAAAGGCAGGGGGCGGCGGTGATTCGCCGTAGGCGTCTTCGATCCGCCGCCACTTTTGACTTATCAAAAGGGTGACTGGCGTGCCGGACGATATGGCTTTTGGTGTTGGTTCTTTTTCCAAAAGAACACCCCCTGGGGCTTCGGCCCGTCCCGCCGGCCACCCGGAAGACCCGGTTGCAAACGGTTGTACTGCCCCAGACGGCCCCAAGATGGCCCAAGATGGCTTCCAAGACGGCTAAGATGGCCCCAATACGCCTCCAAGACGGCCCAAGATGCACCCAAGACGGCCTAAGATAGCCTGAAGATGGCCCAAGACGGCCCAAGAGGCCCCACAGAGACCTCCAAGACGGCCCAAGAGGCCTCCAAGATGTCCTTCAGGAAGGCCGCCAAAAGCATTGCTTTTCCTCTAGTTTTTGAAGTATGTTGGCATTTGCGCCTTTTCGGCTCTCCGACAGCCCCAGACGGCCCAAGAGGCTCCCAAGATCGCACCAAGATCGCCCAAGAGGCCTCCAAGACGGCCCCAAGAAGGCCCCAAGACGGCCCACGAGGCCTCCAAGACGCCCAAGATGGCCTCCAAGACACCCAAGATGGCCTCCAAGACGGCCCCGAAGCGCCCCAAAAGGGCCCCACGTCAGCCCAAAAAGGCCCCAGAGACGACTCAGACGGCGTCAGACGTGCCAGGAACCCACCAAGATGGCCGAAGTTGGCTCGAAGCTGGCCCAAGACGGCCCAAGAGGCCCCCAAGAAAGCCTCCAGGAAGGCCAAAAGAGGCAAAAACCATTAATTTGCGCTAGGTGTGTTTGACGGATTTTGACATGTGCTTCTTTTCGGCCTTCCGACGGCCCGAGACGGCCCAAGAGCCCCCAAAGATCGCCGAAAGATCGCCCAAGAGGCCTCCAAGATGGCCCCAGAACGGCCCAAGAGGGCCCCAATACAGCCCCAAGAGGCCCCAAAGATGGCACAGGAGGCCTTGAAGACGCCCAAGATGGCTTCCAAGACGGCCCTGGAGCATTCCAGGAGCGACCCCAAGCCGGCCCAGAAAGGCCCCCCAAACGGCTTCCGACGGACAAGGAGCCCACCAAGACGGCCGAACATGGCCCAAAGATAAACCAAGACGGCCCAAAAGGCCTCCAAGAGGGCCTCCAGGAAGGCCCGAAAAAAGGCCAAAATCATTGCTTTCCCATGGTGTTTGAAGGTTTGTTGCATTTGTTCCCAAACCATCCTGTGGTGTTTGGTCATCGTTTTGCACAGACGGTCCCCGCGTTCCGCTTCTCCTCTCCTCCTCCTCCCCTCCCCCCTCCTCCCCTCCCTCCTCCTTTTTCCATGCGTTCTACCGACCCAGCACAGCGCTTCGTGGCCCCATAGGGAACTCCACCGAAGCCCCCCGTGGGACCGCCCGCATGCGTCCGCCACCACCCAGCACAGCCCTTGATCCACGCGTTTCATCCACCCAGTACAGCGTTTCGTGGCCCCATAGAGAGCTCCACGGAAGGTCCCAGTGGCACCGCCCGCATGCGCCCGCCACCACCCAACACGGCCCTTGCTCCCTGCGTTTCACCCACCCAATGCAGCGCCTCGTGGCCCCATAAGGGGACTCCACCGAAGGTCCCAGCGGCACCGCCCGTATGCGTCCGCCACCACCCAGCACAGCCGTTGCTCCCTGCGTTGCACCCACCCAATACAGCTTTTCGTGACCCTATAGGGAGCTCCACGGAACGTCCCAGTGGCACCGCCCGCATGCGCCCGCCACCACCCAACACGGCCCTTGCTCCCTGCGTTTCACCCACCCAATACAGCGCTTCGTGGCCCCATAAGGGGACTCCACCGAAGGTCCTAGTGGCACCGCCCGCATGCGTCCGCCACCACCCGGCACACCCGTTGCCCCCTGCGCTTCACCCACCCAATACAACTTTTCGTGACCCTATAGGGAGCTCCACGGAACGTCCCAGTGGCACCGCCCGCATGAGTCCGCCACGAACCAGCACAGCCGTTTGCTCCCTGCGTCCCACCCGACCAGTACATCGCTTCGTCGCCCCACAAGGAGCCCCACGGAAGGTCCCAGAGGCACCGCCCGCATGCGTCCGCCACCACCCTTTACACCCATTGCTCCCTTCGTTTCGCCAACCCAGTACAGCGCTTCGGGGCCCCATAGGAGGCTCCACCGAAGGTCCCACTGGCACCGCCCGCATGCGTCTGCCACCACCCAGCACGGCCCTTGGTGGCCACATCAGGGGGCCCCACCGAAGGTCCCAGAGGCACCGCCCGCATGCGCCTGCCGCCACCCACCACAGCCTTTGCCCCATGCGCTTCACCCACCCAATACAAGGTTTCGTGACACCATAAAAAAAGGTGCTCCACGGCCCCAGTGGCAACGCAATCATGCGTCGGCCGCCAGTCAGCACTGTCCTTACTCCAGGCGTTGCACCCACCCAATACAGCTTTTCGTGACCCTATAGGGAGCCCCAGGGAAAGTCCCAGCGGCACCGCCCGCATGCGTCCACCACCACCCAACACGACCCTTGCTCCCTGCGTTCCACCCACCCAATACAGCGCTTCGTGGCCCCATCATGGGGCCCCACCGAAGGTCCCAGCGTCACCGCCCGCATGCGTCCGCCACCACCCAATACGGCCCTTGCTCCCTGCGTTTCGCCCACTGGCACCACTGGCACCGCCCGCATGCGTCCGCCACCACCCAGCACAACCCTTGCTCCCTGCGTAACACCCACCCAGTACAGCTTTTCGTGGCCCAATAAGAGGGCCCCGCCGAAGGTCCCAGTGGCACCGCCCGCATGCGTCCGCCACCACCCAGGACGGCCCTTGCTCCCTGCGTTTCACCCACCGAATACCGCGCTTCGTGGCCCCATCGGGAGCGCCAACGAAGGTCCCAGTGGCACCGACCGCATGCGCCCGCCAGCACCCAGTACAGCCATTGCCCTCTTCGTTTCACCCACCCAGTACAGCACTTCGTGGCTCCATCGGGGGCTCCACCGAAGGTCCCAGTGGCACCGCCCGCTTGCGTCCGCCACCACCAAACACGGCCTTTTGCCCCATGCGCTTCACCCACCCAGTACAGCGCTTCGTGGCCCCATAAGGAGCGCCACCGAAGGCCCCAGTGGCACCGCCCGCATGCGTCCGCCACCACCCAGCACAGCACTTGCTCCCTGCGTTCCGCCCACCCAGTACAGCGCTGCGTGGCCCCATGAGGGGGCTCCACCGAAGGTCCCAATGGCACCGCCCGCATGCGTCCGCCACCACCCAGCACAGCCCTTGCTCCCTGCGTTTCATCCACCCGGTACAACTGTCGCATGGCCCCATAGAGAGC